TATATATATATATATATATATATATATACACACAGCTGAATATAACTTTCTCTTACCACATTAGGGACTGGTATAGTATAGTCTACATTAGCAAGACATCCAAGAATACTGTCAGAAAAAAACAGCAGTCTCCAGAAATTCTTATATATGGTCAATCATATTATGAAAACAGTTAACATTTGACATGCAATTCTTATGGTTTTCATATATCATCAAACACTTACAGTTATACTTAAATCACTTGTTATCTGAATATTACTTTCCCTTATTTCCATTAGGGTCAGGTATAGTATAATATAATCTACATCAACAAGACATCCAAGTCGATCGTAAACTGAAATTCTTATATATGGTCAATCATATTCAAAAAACAGTTTACAATCGACAAGCAATTCTTTTTTCTTTTTTTTTTTTCAAGACAACAAACACAAACTGATTTATGTAAGTAAGAAATAAATTTTCCACATAGATCAAAGCCTAAAAAGGACACATCCTTACAAACACATATGGTCAGACTCAAGAAAGAAACTCAAAAGCAAGTATGAAATTTGAAGCACAAGACAATGAAAAGAATGGAATTTCTTGGTGACAGTGTTATCATGTAGCTGCATGAGCTCAAATCCCCCAAAATAAAATAAAAATTCAGCAATAGATATAATATAAGGATACTGCCTTGATACTTGGAGCGAGGATAGTAAAGATCTTCACACCTAGGGCAGTATATTTTCACAGTACTTGACCTAGGAATGTCCGATTGTCCAACTGGAAGACAGGGTTGCCCAGAGCAGTAAACTCTCGGGCATCTGCCAAAATCATAGTTCTTGTATTTGTCAAGCTGCAAAAGTTCCAACATCACTAACAGAACTTATCCCCCGGATGATAAACAACTTGTTTGGATAAACTTTTCTGAAAACACTTTTAGAAGAAAAAAATAAGAAAAATAGAAATAAGCTTTTCAAGCTAAAACTATACACAAGTTAAAAATATGATTTTAAAAAGATAATAAGAGAGACCTTCTATAAATTAGCTTATGCATAAGCTAATTGGTTTATGAAAAAACTTATTTCATTTTTCCTTCATACTAGAAGTGTGTTCAGAAAAGTTTACCCAAACAGACCTAAAGAAAGAAAAGAGCAACCAAGAAGCCTTACCATGGCAGCCATTCCTTTGCTGGTTAACACATACCGGGCATGAATCATACCGTAAAGCATTTCCGCCGCGGATTCAATTAACTCATTCTGCTCCTCTGTGAACATGTCACCTACGAATTCCAACATAACCAGGTATCAATAATAAAAACACTGAATTCTTAACAGGGTTCTAATAGCAGTCACTATTGATAATATTGCAGGAAATTGTAGAGAAGTGCACAAAAATGTTAAAACCCTTGACATTGCGTAATGATATTAATTTAAATTCATCATAATTAGACAAAAAATCACAAAAGCTCACCATGGGACGACTCAACATCGAGAATCAAATCAAGAGCGTAATCATAGTAGGGCACTTGACTGCTCAAGCCACATAGGTTAAAGTCGTCCTGTATGTAATCATCATCGACCTCGCAGAAGAACTCGTTTCCTCTGAGATTGCAGAACCAGGAGATCCAGGAGGTGTCGTCGGCGTCGGAGCCACTGACATCGGACTCCTCAGTCTCCGTCTCGGATTCCTCGGCTGCAGGTGAGAAGAAGAGCATGTGATGTTATGCGATGTTATGATTATTGAGAGAGGAAATGGAAAAAGAGAGGACCTTGGAGTGTGGAGCGAGGGTTGACGGGGCGAGAAGTGGAGGGAGAGGATCGCTCGAGGTGCTTGTCGAGGACGTCGTTGATTCGCTTGCGATCCTCCGATTTGGAGGAAACGGACACTCCTCCTCGCTCTTTGTACATGATAGTTACCGAATCATGGTGGGAAATGGAGAATTAGGGTTTTTGATTCAGGGAAGAAGAAGAAGAAGAGGCACCACCGATACCTACATCACATGCCAGGTGCCAACTTAAGCAATACCAAAACCATTTTCTTTTTCTCTTCCCTCATACTCGTACTCGTATTCTGCCCTCATACTCGTACTCGTACTCATACTCATACTCCTACTCCTCACAAATAATTCATCTATATTTTTTTTATTTATTTCTTTTTCTCTAAAATTATCGATACAATCTATTCTCCCTTTAATTGATTAATGAAGTTGTTAAGTGAGATTATTTGCTATTTATGATTTCTCACCATTAAAGTTCTACTAAAGCAGGAAAGATATCAATCACATTTTTAGTTATTATGAATTGTAAAGCTTTTCTTTTAGGGTTTCTTTTTTTGATAAAATTATTTTAGTTTTTTTTTTCTTTCGTCTTTGAAGTATCTACCGTCGATATCAGTGACTAATTTTCTCGCTACGATAGAGGCACCTGAAAATGTGGGATAGCTGGTCCCAAGATTTTCGAACCCTTAACCTTGCTTAAGCGTGGATCAGCCCCTACCGCTGAACCACACGCTTGGGGTAAAATTATTTTAATTTAAATTTATTTTTGGTTTTTATAATTTCTCAAATATGCAAATTTTGTTTTCTAATTTTTTTATTACAAATTTTAAAATTAAATAATGTTGATTCATTATTAACATGTCATCTAAAATTAAATAAAAAATATTAATGTGAAATAAATAATATTACTTAATAATTAATTAGTTATATAGAAGAATAATAGTATTAAAAAGTAAAGAGAAAATTATTTTAATAGATTATAAATTTTAATTAAAATAAAATAAATATAACATTTTTCATGTCAACAATTTTTGTTTAATTTTTTTTCTGATACGTTTACGGTGAATTAATATTATTTAATTTTAAAAATTAGGAGAACAAATTTACAATAAAAAATAAAGACTAAAATTGCACATTTTGTAAAATTATAGGGATGAAACGGGATTTAGGCCAATTATTTTCAAAATCTCAAACTCATTTTTTTTAATTATTTTTACTTTTTTATTGAAATAAATTTTTGGTCTAACAAATAGAGATTTTTATTTATTTTTTTATATTAATTTCTTTTCAATTTCATCCTATAAAAAAATGTTTCATTTTTGTTAACAGAGAAAAACCAAAAAATTATAGGACCAAAATTTGAGAGAAATAAAATAAAAACAACAAAAGTTTGGGAGGAACCAAATGAAAATAATTAAAACTTTATAAGATGAATTTGTAATGGTTAAACACTCATGTAATGTAAAACCTTAATTTTTAGTGATCAATTAAAAAAATTTAAAATTTAAATCTTAACCATAAAATCTAATAGAAGTCATCTAATCACTTTTATCCTCCTATGAAGAAACTATAATAAATGAGGAGTAACAAAAATAAAATATAATATAAGACAAAAATAAACTTAGGTAATTGTATCATTATATGACTTTTATAAAGTTGTGCTTTTAATTTTTATTATATTTTTACCCGTCACTAATACGTTCATTATAAATTTTGCTATAGAAAGGTATTTCAAAACATATACAAATCGGTACAAAGCTCTAGCTTTATACTTACATGGGGTAATTGTTATGGGTAAATATTATAAGAATTGATTCATTGTTGAAATATCTTTTACCAATTAGCATTTAACATTTTTTGGTACCACAATCCTAAATTATTTTTCTAACAAAAGTTATGAACTTTTGATCAAGATATCATTCATTCTTGTGCTTATTTGACATGAACTTAAATTAGATCACACTTCCAAACTTAGACATGTCTCATGTATGAAATATCCTAATTGTCGCCTTCCTCTACTCACCAGTGTCTCACTTTTGCGATTTTCATTTTCTGATTTACCTACATTCAACAATATCACAACAAATTTATTTATTTTTTACTACTTATTAGTGAACTTATTGTATTTAAAGGTTTAAATTTTATAAATTTAGCTCAAATGTGTCTTTTTTTCTTCTTCTATAAAATAAGGTTAATTTGATTTTAATCCTCTTAATTTAAGTTATTTACATTTTGGTTCTCTCAAATTTTAGTTTTTTTCGTTTTGGTCCTCCCAATTTTTTTTTGTTTTGGTCCTCATAAATTTTTTGATTTTTCTCTACTAAATTTAACAATAAGGATGAAATCGAAACATTAATAATTTACATAGATGAAATTGAAAAGAAAAAAAATAAATGAAAAAATACATCAAAGTGCTAGTGAGCTATAATTTTCAAGATAGAGTCAATGGTAAAAACAAGTGTGTAAGAAAATCATAGGTTCTATCATGAACCAAAGTATCGAGTCATCAATCCACAAAAGAAGAAAAAAAATCAATTACTAAAAGAAGGTTTTTAATTGGTGTATCTTATCAACTTAGGTGATATAGTTGTGGATTATTTGAGATGATTTTCTCAAAGATTTTCTTATAGTGGGCTAGCACAAGAATAATTCTTGATAGGGGTTAAGGAATTAGATTTTTCTCCTTGAGTAAATTGCACGTGACTTCTGATGGTAAAACTTGAATTGGTAAATAGTGACGTTTGAATCAAATGATTGGAAAACTGGATGTAGATAATAGTGATAATGGTCAAACCAGTATAAAATTTGGTGTTCATATTTTCTTTACCCTTCTCGTAGTTCTTGATTGCATATATTGTATAATTGAGCATAATTTGTTTGATCTTTGTTTTATACACAACATAGTAGGATAATTCTTAACCACATTGAACTATCTATATTCAACATCTAAATCCCTTAAAGCCTAAATTGATTGAATCAATGTAAATTTCAAAAGGGTGGAAATTTTTTTCAAAATGGTACTTTCAACAGCTACATAGTCATTCAATCATGTATCTCTTATACAATTGCATATTTCATTCTTCACAAAATTCATTGCAAAAAGACTTCTTTCAATTGTTATAATTGACATAGATAGAAGTATCAAATTGGTCAGGTTGGCCCGATCTAATTTAACCTATACAGATCAAATGTTATTTTAGGTTAGGTTGGTTTGACTTATATTTTTTGTTCGAACTACCATTTTTTGGCCCAACTTGGCTTATGTCGAACTATTGGGCCATTGGGCCAAATTGGCCCAACTTTAAAAAATAAATTAAAAAAAATAACATGATTAATTGATATGATATATTGTCATGAAACATTCAATAGCTTTACATGTATACAATTTTTTACAATCATTACATTTGCATTTATCCACCCCATCAATTAGACCAATCTTTTCATAATAATTCCATACATTATCGGTATTAGACTTACTTTTTTTAGTCTTTTTTGTATCTTGGCCTTGGTCATTGATAACCCTTGTCTTGTTTTTATTACCATTAGTAACAACAATAGACTTTCTCTGTGTCCAGTGGAGTTTCCACTGTATATAAATCATCCTCCGTACTATAAAAAAAAATAATCATCAAAATTCATGATTGTAATATTCAAAATTAAATAAGTTAACTCATTCAGTTTACAGTTCCCACAATGAATTATAAAACAACAAGTCAACATAATTCTTAATTCAATTCACAAGCAACTAGAAGTCAAAATTCAATTCACAATTCTCGATCCATACAACACAAGCCTTAAAAAAATAAAATAACATACTTGATATTTGGTAATGGTTGGAACCAAGGGTAAGCACCAACAGTAGACAATAAAACAATAGATGATAATTGAAATAAAATAGGAAAAATATCATAACAAAAAAAGACTTATTAGCTAGATAAATATTTTTGAATAGTTGAGTAGAAAAAACTATATCATAAAAAGAATGAATATTTCTTAGAGTGAAGTAATAACCTATAATTTCATGGTTTAAGTGGTAAAGGTGAGTCATTATTATCACTTTGTGAAAGCAAATGCAAGCATGACTACGTTTTAACTCTAAACTTGTAAATACAAACAAATACAAAAAAATGAAAGACTATTATTATTATAGTATTATTATACTTTAATCTATTATTTTATGATACATTACAAATTAATGTTAATTTAAATTATTATACATGGTTGTTTGAAGCATCAGTTTAAACTTAAAAATGATAACGAAATTGAGCTTTCTAAAACTTCATATTTTCATCAAACACATACAGCATTAGCTGGTGGGCAACTTTATAACTGCACCCAGATAACAAGTTTATGACAAGAAGCCAACATGTAAACCCTATTCTATCTTTTTGGCACTTTTGCCTTACACGTTGTAACTCTACTCTATTGTTCTTACTCTTCTTATACACATAAAAGAAGCCACCAAAAGTGAGGAACCTGTTTGCTCCAGAATCTGCCATCTAGTTCAATGACAGAAAGTGGTTCCAAGCAGGCACCTCGCAGCTGTACCACAATACAAGAAATGGATACACCTCTCAAGTGGCAATCAAATTTCAGAGAAGATCTCAATAGTAGCATTGCACATCTTTATGATTCTCCTTCCTTGCATTCATTCTGCTTCCTTAGCTTTTTCATATCTAATAATGAATGGCATGCAAACGGCAAGCCTATGATAGTGTGACACTGAGACGATACACTTTTCTATCATCACAAGATGAGGAAATGTGGTAGTATCATTTATCATTATCATTATTATTATTATTATGGTGCATCCTATTTTGCACAGCCTTTACTGCAGCAACTCTGGCTGCGTTTGCTGCTTTATTAGCTGCAGCCACTACTTTATTCACCCCTTCATCCACCTTTGCCATGTTGTAAGCTTTCTCGGCAGCATTATGTGCATCCTGCTCAGAATGAGAGAAGTAAGTACCAAGTATAACAATTCCCATATTTATTATTGCAGGGTCTAGTGCTCATGAATCAGGTGGTTTAAGGTCCACGAGAATGCTCAAGTAGCTTATGCAGAAAGCAAGTCAGATAAAACTAGGGAAGGTTCAGGCTTATTCATGATTTTTTTTATTTGAATGTGCTTCATAGTAACAAACAGAAAGAAACAAGGAAAGCAACTACAATAAGCAGCAGAACAACATATAGCAATGCAGGTTTTCTAATGCGTGTCAATGGGCACATGATATGGAGTCAAAAATAAAAAGCATTTATTACATAAAAATATAAATTTCAAAATTTAAAGTGTTTAATTGAGTGTATTTAATGCTTTTATACCATGTGTTTATGGGTACACAGTAGAAAAACTGATAATTATCATTGTTTTTGTTCCCCCTTTTACTTAAAGAATAACCACATTCACCCCTTTCTTTTCCAATCTACAATGTGTTTTTTGTACAAGCTTCTATATGCAATCCATTGCAAGTGTAAACTGCACTCTTACCTGTACAGCATTGAAAAACTTGGCGTGGTCCACAGCACATGGAGAGCCAGTAGGACTATTATGTCCTTTAGGATCATCAAGAATCCCATTCTGCCAGTGACCACATTTTGTTTCCCCATTTCTGAAAGTGTACATTCCCAGACCTTGTCTTCTTCCTTCATGCCATGCGCCCTCATACCGATGACCATTCTGAAATTGATACACTCCAAAACCATGCATCTTGTCTGCAAAATATTCTCCAGCATATATGTCCCCATTTCTGCAGTATACATAAAATGAGTGTAAAGGCCCACTCAAAAGAGATACTTTTCGTATTTGTTGAGTAAACCAAAGCTTCCAACCACAATTGTTCTTTTGTAATGCATTCACATTCAATATATGTAGAAATCTTAAGATACCACAGCAATAATGACAATACCAGTCTTGTACCACTTTCCATTTGTTGTTCTTTTAGGTCCATGTTAAAAAAATGAAAAGTGGTTAAAAATATTGAAATTATACAGTTCTTAAAATTTTAATCAAATTCAATGATGCAGCTATTAATGATGCAAGGTTGAAGAAGTAAGACAGGGTCAGAAAGTTGTAATCTTGAATACTGATAGTCTGATACAGTAACCGAGAAATACTTTCAAGTGCATCTACACTGTAACAGATTCAATGTTCCAAGTTTCCAATCACTTTTCAAGTGTCTTAGCTGGTTATGTATATTACAGGTAAAATTGGTTGAGACATAATATACATGATAATTTGATGTTTGCAGAAACAGGAAACAAATTTATCATCTTCAGGAATATCATCAATAAGCTAGTAATTGTCTACAAGAAATGTGGCATCAAAAGCTTTGATTTACTGACATATGCTTAAAAACAGGCTGAGCTTAGATTCAAATGAGTTGAAAAATATACAGAACATTCAATTAAATTGCTGCCTTGTGGTTAGCGAAAAACTAGACCAACCCCTTTGACTTCTGACAGTAAATATTAAAAATAACTGATTGAACACCAGTTTAACAGCAAAGAAGGCAGAAAATCTTTTATGTGAACCAGTGCAAGTGTGCAACAAAATGTTGCCATTTTTAGTTTGGCCAACAATGAAGCATAGTAAATCAAAATCAATATCCCCCTAAATTTTACAAGAAGATTGGCAATGCAATATCAACAACACGGGTTGTTGACAATTTGAATGGTCATATTTGCAAACAAAACTTTATATAAAAAAGGGGTCTAGAATCATAGTTACTGGCACACATGAATATCAACAGACCTGACATGGATAAATTTATGAAGTATTGACATATTGGATCCAATAATGCTTCAACAAAAACTTCTCCGGGAAAGATGAACACATTTCTAAACTTTCGCCCTCAGAAACACCAATGTTTTCTTAAAATGAAAATACAAAAGCTTGGATCAGATGCACACAAAAGTTCAGTATCAACCATAGTTTAGGAAATGCTCAACAATTTTCAACCGGAAAACCAAAGTCCCAGGGCACTGAATAATGAGAACCCTAAACCTAAACAGATTAGGTAAAATCTCTATAAATTAAACCCCCCACTCTAATTCTTGTGATTGTATGCATCCACAATTTTCCTCTATAATTTTACAAAACCTTCATTTCAGCCCCTCTGCAAAGAATAATAGTGCACACAGTAACAATATTAAAGGTTAATCCACTGTGTATAATAACTTCGTTGATTTTAATAATAATTATCTTAAAAGTTATTCCACATATAATTTTTAATACAGTGTAAAACTTTTTACGGTGACTGTGAATAAAAATTAAACTCATCTTCAAAACATTATTTACTTCTTAGTCTTGCTCTAGTAAGATTAAGAACTAAAGTGAATGATATTTATCAACATCACGACTAAAGCATCCACACAAATTATAAGCTGAAAAACAAAAACACACCTGAAATGATACTGTCCGAGTCCATGTTTGACACCCCATTTGAACTCCCCAACATAGCGGCTGCCATCAATGCAAGTGTGGACTCCAAACCCATGGCACTGCCCATTAGACCACTCACCACCATACACATCACCACTGTAAAATCTATAGATCCCCATTCCATGCCTCAAACCCTCCCTATACTGCCCCCTATACCTGCTCCCTCTAGCCCATGTCTCAACACCATACCCATCATACTTCCCATCAACCCAATCCCCCTCATATCTCCCATTCATGTGATAGTGATAAACCCCACTCCCACAACACTTCCCCTTCTCGAATTCACCCTCGTACACGTCCCCATTGCTATAAACTTGCACCCAACACCCCCAACTCAATTTCTTCACTTGCTTCGGCTTCGACCCTATAGACCACACCACAGGGTGAGGAGAAGAGGAAGAAGGAGGAGAAGAGAGCTTGGCGGGGAACAATCGAGTGAAGAACGACAGCGCCAGATTGAGGGAAATTAACAGTGCTGCTGAAAAAGCGATGACGGAGAGGAAATCCAACGGGCTAGGGTTTGAAAAGAGGAAGTAGAGAGAGGGAAGGGGGAGGAAGATGAGGAAACGGAAACGGGGAAGAAGCTTTGAAGTTGGAAGCTTTGCGCCAAAGGGTGCGGGGAACAAAGGAAAAGGGAGGGTTTTCATCGGTTGTCTCTTGTGGGGTGAGGTTTGAGATGGGTTATCGGAGAAGCGTTCATGGTGACAGGGAATGTTTGGTGGTGGTGGATGGTGCGAAGAGGGTGAAACTTGAATTGAGAAATGGGTTTGATTTTGGTTTTGGTTTGCGTTGGGGGAGAAGGAGAGTGGAGTTGACGTTGCATCAGAAGAGAGAGGGGAGTTCTCTTTTCCGAAGTGAAGCTGAGGATTGTGGTGGTGATGCATTAACACGCCAAAGAAGTGACACTGTTTTGCTTTGTTGCGTGGTGCTGTGCGTGGATAATGAATATATTATATATGTATGTATCTATGAAGAGTGGTTTGCAGTTATGAATCTGTGGTTGTGGTTTTGATTTTGTTGAGTCCAGGGCGGGTACTATGGTTGCCGCTTTTGAGAGAAAAGAAAAGGAAAGAGGAAAAGTGCAGTTTGTGTGTGTTTTGGGGTCCAAACTCTATGGGATGGGATGTCATAAATTATAATATCTATAGTAACTGCCGCATATGAAAACAAAGAGGCCTGGCCTTTGTCTGGATTTGCAAAATTGCCACTTAGGTACAATCAATCCTAGATTGTCTGTCTGTTGTTGAATGCTGAGGGTAACTATCAATTACGAGAGCTGTGCTTCTTTGGACTGCTAAATTGCCACTTGCATACGATCCAAGGTTGCAACTTGCAAACATGTTGACTACTGCTGTAAATTATGAGTAGTAGTTATAAATAAAATTTAAATATGTATTTAGTTTGTATAAATTTATTTTTATCACTCAAATTAATAATTAATAATTTTTATTTTTATTTTTATTTTATTATTATTATCTTTTTTTGTTCGCTCCTGGAGTATCCACCGCTGATAACAATGACTAATCTCTTCGCTACGTTGGAGGCACCTCAAAGAATGGGATAACTGGCCCCAAGATTTAACGCGGCTGCATTCGAACCCTTGACCTTACTTAAGCGTTATAATTTTTAAAAATTTTATTTTAACCTCTTAAATCATCTATAACATATTTAAAAATAATAGATTGAGATATTTATATAATATCAATTGAGTTTAATGTGATATTTTTATTAATAAAAATTAGTAAATAAATTTTATATGACAATATTTTTTGACAGATTTTATAAAAAGATTTGCATATAAAATTTATAACAATATTTTCTTAAAAATTAAAAAAATCAAATTTAAATTTAAGAAATTAAAAATAAAATTATTTTAAATTTAAGAGATTAAAAATATATTATATATTTAAATCTATAAATAAATATTGAATCTTCCGCTCCAACATATTTAATAGATATTTCAATTCCTTAATAATACTTTTTTACTGCAATCAATACCTTAATCATACTAACAAATATAATTTTGTGATCATGCAAAAAACTTTGTTTTATAATTTCTACGCTTCCAAAAGGTTAATATTCGACTATGTTAGAAGAAGTTTTCAATATAAATCAGAGGTACTTCTTTTATTAAGAGTATAATGTTGAATGTTGCAATTTATATGATTTCAAATGTAATATAATATGAATAAATTATGTTGAGAAAAAATACTTATTTTTTTAATGTGTTTATGATCTTTAATAAAGATTATTAATGTTTATGAAATTCAATATTATTGTTAAAAATAAATAAATTTTCAATAAAATAATTATTTACTTTTATTAAAAGGACGACAATTAAAGAGAACAATAATAAAATTAGTATTATAAGACAACAATTTAAGGAGATTTAATAATAAAAATACAAATACAAAATTAAAAGCCTAAAAATGAGAAAATGAGTTTATGGTCATATTTAAGAGTATTTTTTTTACCAAATCAATTTCTATAAAGATAAAATAATATTTTTAATAATGATTTCATATTTAAAATAGAAATTGATTTTAATTTTTTTTATTAAAATATAAATGTCGAACGACTTTAAATTTTTATTAGGAGTATAGAAATTTTCATAAGCATTGATAATTTGTTTTTAAGGAATAAATTTAAGCATTTACTCTAAATTATTATTTACACTATGGTAATTAATAAATAAAATGAAGAAAAAAAATTAGTACATGTTAAATGTACAAAATAAAATGATTATTAACTTTTCGTGAGTATTGATTAATCTTATTTTAGAACACCACGTAAATAATATCCATAATAAAAAGAGTAAAATAATTATTAATATGATACGTTAAAATCACGTAGGCATATATGCTATGATTATAACTTTATAATTACACGCTATTATAACAATAATCAAAATTTAAAATTGGTGCTTAAATGGATCATCCTTTTCAGTTTTCAAGTTGGAGGTTGATATCTAATTTATTTATTTATTAATTATTTTTTCTTTTATATTAATTCATGAACAAAATATAAAAATATTAACTAAAAAAAAAGAGGAATTCCTTTTTTTAGCGAACAATTGATATAGGAAAATGATAGATTATTTGATTGATCTGGATCAAATTGATCCTTATCCTGATTTTCATGATGACTCCATGAAAGAAAATTGATGCATGAAAAACATTTGAAGTAAGTCAGACTTATTACGTAGATGTGCTCCCAATGGTCAAGCTAGATGACTAAACATGATAAGTGAGTAGATGACTCTTGTATCTCGTGATTTCACACTCTCAACTCTATAAATACAAGAACATTGTACCCATCTCACGATATCTACAATATGTATAATAGAAAACATGAGAAAATAAAAAATAAAAAAATAGTCAGTTATAGTAGAAAAAATAAAATGTTCTAATCAAAATGTGTAAAGATAAAAAAGAATAATATTTATTAATAATCTATAATTTTTACATTTATATATACATATTATAATAAATAAATAAATAAAAGAATACGCTTTTAATGATTAAATAGTTATACTCTTAAATTTATATTATGTATTTTATAATTTTTAAAATTACCCTATGTAATTAAAAATGCTAAGTACAATTACCTATTTTTCTAATCTTGATATTTTTTTTCTTAAATATGTTTTTAATAACCCCTCAAAACTGGATATATGTTTTTTTGTTCTCAAAATTAAAATTGTATTTTTAATCCTTGTAATTTCAAAAAAGATTGTTTTAGTCTCTTCTTTATCTTCAAATTTTAAACTTGTACATTTAATTTCAAAGTATAAAAAATTATTATTTTAGTTCATCTGTTTAATTATGCTATTATTATTAGTGGTACATTGGTACGGGAACTAAAACAATATTATTTTTAATTTATAGGGACTAAACAATAAATTTTAAATTTGAGGAACCAAAATAATAATTTTTGATATTTTTAAGATAGAAGCACAATTTTTAGATTTAGAGAATTAAAAAAAGAAATATACTCTAAATTTACAAGACTAAAATCACAATTAAGCCTTTTTTTATTGTTACAATAATTTTCTCTCACAATTTTTTCAAAGATAAATAAATAGAGAGACAAAAGGTAAATATTTATTTTTGTTACAACTATCTTCTCTCACAATTTACTCAAATATAAATATAATGAGACACAAAATTTCTCTTTTTCTTACTAGATAATAATAATATATAAAGAGGATATAAAGTTTTGTTTTTCACTTTTCAATGTTCAATTTTATTCGTTAATATCATAGTCATTTCTTTTGATTACTTTGTTTAATTAACTCCAAAAATGACATTCGCTTAAATTTTAGTTTTCACTTACTAGTATCCTATCATCGTAAACCAACCACATTCCTCTAATGACAAATGATTTTTTTGGCTTAACATTATATCTTTTTTACTTTTGGTTATTTATCATTTATTTTTTATTTTAGTTATTCTATATTTTATCTTTTATTTAAATGAAACATATAAAGATACGAAATGTCTCAACTCAATAATATATACTAATATATAAAAGGGATATTACTTTTATTAACCACCATGGCCTCCACATTTGGTAGACCATTATACTTTTTTGTTATTAAAAAGAATTAATATTTTTAACAAATTCAAAACCTTAAAACTTAAAAACAAGCTACAACATTAGTTGAATTAATATATATTTATCACTTAATCTTATTTTTTATTTTATTTTTAATAAAAACATGAAGTTTGTCGATTTCACTACGTCCTAATTATGTTTTGTTCTCCACTTTATTGAGATTTGTTTATTTTTAAATTATATTACAAATACATCAATTGTACGAATATTTTTATTTTTTATTTTTTTCAACAACCTCTTTTCTCTCACTAACAATTTCCCCAACATTCGCTCACTAGTGATGTAACATTTTTTTTCTCTATTTTTTTTTTACTTTTTTATTTTAATAAAACACTTCGTCACTAAAAATATATAAAGAAAATAAATTATTTTGGTGTACACAATTTTTTCCTCTCCATTTTAATCTTATAATTATTGACATATTATTATTATTTTTTAAATAAAATACATAAAAATGAAAAATGCTTCTTTCATACTAGAATTGAATAATATAGATTTATGATTTATACATGCAAACAACTTAATTAAGAATTTATATATAAGTATTTATGTAAAAATTGTTTTAATAATAAAAATAATATTACACTATTTACTTATAAATTATATATTATTTTTTAGAATTTATTAAAATAATATAAAACAATTTATGGACATATATTCATTTATTTTATGTATTCTTTCAAATATTTATATAAGTATTTATATCATAAAATAAGTTGAATAAGCTATGAAAGAAGTTATTTTTATATAATTATTTTTGTTAATTTCAAGAGAAGTTTATTAACTAGGATCTTTGACTTTTTCATGTATTGACCTTAAAGTATTCTCACAAATTTTAGCTTTTTTTAATCGGTTTTGAGACTTAGACCTATTTGTTTATTTATTTTATTTATGAAAATATTTTTTTAATAGAATAAATAATTTTATCTATATTAATATATAGAAATGATATTTTTTAGTAATTATCTTGATCTCCATATTTTTGTTAATCATTATACTTTTCTATTTTAAAAATTTTAAAAAATATTTTAATCAAATTTAATAACTTAAAATTAATGAACTAACTATAACACTAATTATACTAATATACTTTTAATACTTAATTTTTATTTTCATTTTACCTATAATAGAGATACAAAATGTTTAAACTAAAAATTATTATAACTAATTTTTAAAATAAGAAATATCCTATATGCTTCTTTTTTGTGTGAATGAATAGGAAGGGTTAATTTGTGAAATGAAGGGATGTTAAGGGCAAGAAGGTAAAAGTGCATAACCTGAAAGCTGTGGTCGATCGCGTCGCCTTTTCTCAGCAAAATGCACAAACAGGAATCAGCTAACGGCAACTGCAGCTTAACCGTAACTGTTCCGGGAATCGCGTCCACGTGGCACTCTCTTTACTTCACACGTGGAATTCGAATATAATATTTTTTGCCAATCCAGAATTGGAAAGAAACTTTGAACCTCATCAATCAATCA